TTGGCCTTCCAGGTGCTGCTACCTCAAAGATGCTGCTGCCAGCTGGTGCCTGCATAGACGGTGAGCGGGCGGTAGCTCCTGCAGGGAGCTGGGCTGAGCCACTGATTGCTCACCCGTCACCTCCCCGCCTTTCCCGCGCGGTCCTCCCTTTCCTCTCTGCGCTCCCGGGCTTGGCGCCAGCAACCCAGCACTTTGGGGTGCGTTCTGCGCTCGAGGGTGGCGTTCTCGGCCGGGTCAGCGCGAGGGCCCGAGGTATCTCTGCAGCCCGGCTCTGGCTAGGAGGCGGGGATGGAGATCCAGCCGGGAGAAAACTAACTCAAACCCTGGGAAACGAGAGTTCGCGGGGACACAGACAGACTCCCACACCTGGACGGGACGAGGGCCCGGTTACCTGGTCTCGGCTTCCCGAGGGGCTGCGTCGCCCCAGCAACCAGGGGCGCAGTCAGGCCGCGGGGAAAAGGAGAGAGAACCGGGAAGCCTGGCCTCTGGACAATTATTTACCCACTCGCCCACCCGGTGCGCCCCTCGCGCTCAGAGATGGGGGCGGGGGGATCTCTGGGAGGCTCCAGCGCGGATGCGGAAGGGGTGTGAGCAGAGAGATTGGCCGCTCCACGGTGCGGGTCCGGGTGAGGCTGCCGCGTTCCCTTCCTGCCCCTCCACCCCTGGGCCACAGCAGGGGCTCCTCCGCAGGGCGCGGGCCGAGCGCGCAGGGGGTTGGGGGATCCCGCACATCAGCGAGCCGCAGGAGACCACTGCCCAGGATGGGGGACCGTGGGACTGTGAAGGGGTAGACCCACCCCTTCGCCCGCCCCGCAAGCTCTGCCCGCAGCTTAGGGCTGGCAAGGGATCCAGCAGGAGCCGCTAATCAAAGCCCTCAGGCTTTCTCTTTCCGTTCCACGTCCAGGAATGTAGCTCAGAGCACCCCGGTAGAGTCCCTCTTTCTACCCAAACCCTTGGTTGCACTAGCCAGTCCCACGAGCCAACTATTCCTACTAGTTTACCTTCTAAGTTCCCCTCACCCCCAACGTTCCCCTTCCCAACCCGTCCTCTTTAGCTCTTTCTGTCCTCAAGAATCCCCCCCTATCTCGGTTCGTTTTCCCAGCCAGGGAGCGGACAAGCCTCCCAGGTTCAGCTCCTCCGCTTGCTGCCTAGGCCGTCGAATGGATGGATGGCTACACCGACCCGAAGACCTTCAGTTGCTCCCGCTCATCTGTGTCCAAAGCAGTGGGTTTAATCCTCTTTGGGGTCACGAACCGTTTTAGGTATTTGATAAAAACATGCATTCTACACACACACACACACACACACACACACACACACACACACAGAGGCAGAGGCGCGCGTGCGCCCACACCAAAGCTCACACTTTAGAATACAAATTTCGGATGGGAAGATGCTATCGCCAGAAATCTTCCAATCCCCCCAGAGCCCATGATTCCGAGTTTTAACTCTCTTTTACACCCACGGTCTCGGGAGGAGGGTGGGGCGTGAGTCTGGAGGTTTTGTGCCAGGAGCCCAACCTGGAAACCGTTTGTAGGGGCGAGGATCAGCCAGTGCGGGGCTTGGGCGCTCTGCAGGGCATCCCGCGGGCCTGGGTGGGCAAGAGACAGTTGCGAGTTCTTCCACGACATTTTCTCAGAGATCGAGCTCTCCAGAGGCGCGCAAGAGGGTGCCAACACACACCCCCCGCGCGCCACACACACACACACACACACACACACACACACTTAAACATCTGACTTTCTTTTTTTTCCTGAGAGAGGGGATACTTCTGGCACCCAGAAGTACCTTTTAATTGTTGCAGGGTAGTGAAAAAGAGCACCGAGTTTTAATCCTCCTTCACGGTCAGACGTCCCGTCCACAACTCAATCCTTTGCTCTAATGTAAACAAAATGGAAAGGCAGGTGTTGACACGCAGTGGGCAGGTGGGGGGAGGAGGGTTCCTTCGGGGAAAGGCGGGGACCGTGAGGTCTCAAAGTGCTCAGGGGAAGGCGACATGCCGATGGCCGTTTGCCAGGTAGTGGGCCCCCTTCCCCAGCCTTGTCTGGAGACCCCGCTGGCCTCCGGCGGTGGATCCGGGCGCGCGGGAAAGACTTGCGGTCGCCTTAGGACACGGCGCCCTGCGGGGAACAAAGACCCGCACCGCGCCCAGGGAGCATCCCCCCTTCTCCAGGCCCCTTCTGGTCCAAAGACACCCATACTGGTGTGGGAGCCCCAGGTTGCACTCGGGGGGGTGGTGGAAATAAAAGCCCTTCCCTTCCTTGCTCTGCAAAATCGATGGGGTCGGTGTGGCTTTTTGAAGAGGGGGGGATGTGCACGTAATCCACCTGCTAGGAGAACGGTCCAGGGCAGGACCTTCTCCGCGAAAGGAAGAACCACCACGGCAGGAACGTATCCCGGCACTCCACCCCGCTAAACACCGCACAAGACCCCCCAGCTTCCCCTTGGGTCTTTCAGTATTAGAAACAATCTAGAAATCAATCTCCCTTGATTTATGGTGCCTGCCTTGCGGCGGCAGGAGTCTCCAAAAACCTTAAAAGTGGAGTAGCAGCGGAGTTGATTTAAACTGGGAAGTCTATTTCTCGGCATCCACGTGTATTTGTACACACACACAGCCAGTAAGAAACCTGACGTTTTACTTTACAAGGTGCGAATACAATAGAACCTGAAGTTCTTGCAGCGAAGCCCATTTATGTGGCCGTATTGTGTGTAATGTGGGAGCACCCGCCGCTGCCGTCCCCGACGTGTGGTTCACGAGCATCTACCCAGAACCGCGGCCGAGAACTTCAGACCTCGGCTCCCCGGCTCCAGAGGCAGGAAAGAGTAAGAGCGTCCCCCTCTCCGCCCACACCCCAGCGGCGGCTCCTCGGCTGTTGTCGCCAGGAAGCCTAGAAGTTCTGCCAGGAAGAGTCACAAAGTCCCACGCAAGGGTCCTCCCGTCTTGGGCCAGTTCGGCGCTGCAGGAACTGCACTGGGAGAAGGAAAGAGCTGCCTCTAGGAGGGAGGCATCCCTTACCTTATTCCCATCTGCCAAGGGGCTTTCTCAAAACACTGCCTTAGGAGGGGGCGGGGACTGGGGGGGAGCCTCAAAGTGAACTTGCAAAAAGCAAATAGAACTCTTCTCTTTGCTTTCCTCCTCCTCGTGTCTCCAGAAAGTTGGACTTCTCCACTCCATTTCCTTCTGGTTTTCCTCTTGGGACTGCTGAAGAAAGCCCCATACAGCTCCCACCCAGAAGATGTCTTTGGTAATCTTCAAGTCTAGTGGGAAACATGGAGCTAGCTGGCTGCTCGTTGACCTAAGAGTGGAAAGGAAAAGTGGCTCCCAGGAGTCCATAAACCTTTCTGGAAAGACTGACTGCCTCCTCTGTCACAATGCTGATCCCTTCTCCTGTTCTCCAAATAGTTCCTGGAGAGGGCAACACCAGGCCACAGACACTGCTCTTTACATCCAAGGAGCGCCCCGGGGCAGTGTTGCTGAGGGAGCCACAGTCAGGAACATCAGAAACACTGGGGCACCAAAACCACCAAGAGTTTTGGGAAACAACTTACTATTTGACATAAAATGAACACATGGCACATTAGAGACTTAATGGGCTTCTTTTCACTCATTTTACAGTTTAGAAGGTGTTTTGTTTTGAATCAAATATGGGAGAAGGCACCAGACCCTTTTTGCTGCTTAAGATTTTTAGAAAGCTTTAGAAAAAACCTTCATTGAGGGCCACAGACAGAGACAAAGGCAGACCTCTGAGATGTTGGAGAACCATTCAGATTCTGCTGGGAGAAAAAGCTGAGGGTCAGCTCTGGGTAAAGCCAGCCTTCCATTTCACTGACCAGCTTTCCCCTGCACGGAAAAGGCTTCCTGGGGGCTGCTATCCTCAGAGGGAAACAGAAAAGGAGGCATGGGGAGGGGACCCAGAACCTGGGTTGGAGACTGAAGCCCAGGGTCTTTGCAGCAGTGAATGAAATAGATGTAAAGCTAATAAAACATCCTAAGACAGATGAGCCTGAAAAGTGCCATCAGAGATGGAGGAGTAAAATGGGGGGGAGAGAAAAAAAGAATGGTTTAATCGAAGCATCTTAAGCAGCCTGACCCCCAAGTCAGAATGATTTAAAGGTTTTATTAGGAGAACAGATGGAAGATGAGAGCATTTCTCACCGCAGAATGGCCCTTCTTGGATACTCATATGCTGCATGATATAGCATTATATCAATCTCCTTATAGCTCAAGATATAAATAAAAGGAAGAATGTATTCAAACTCTTCTGTTTGCCAGCAATCTCCCTTGGGTTGCTAACACTGAGGAGAAAACAGTAGAACTGAGGCTATAAAAAAAAATAATCAAGAGCTACTAATGTGACCCGATTGTTGCTATTTATTTAATGGAACAGTCATTATTTTCTTTCTTCGACATACGTCTAATAATGAAGCAAAAAGACAGGAAAATAATTATCAATGTGCCACTTCAGATACACACAAACAGAGACTTCCCTGGTGGTACAGTGGTTAAGAATCCTCCTGCTAATGCAGGGGACATGCGTTCGAGCCCTGGTCGGGGAAGATCCCACATCCCACATGCCACGGAGCCCATGTGCCACAACTACTGAGCACGCGCGTTGCAACTACCGAAGCCCACGTGCCTAGAGCCCTTGCTCCACAACAAGAGAAGCCACCACAATGAGTAGCCCAGGCACCACAACGAAGAGTAGCCCCCCCTCGTCGCAACTACAGAAAGCCCACGTGCAGCAACGAAGACCCAAAGCAGCCAAACATAAATAAATAAATAAATTTATATTCAGAAAAGAAACACACAAACATTTGCTAGCTTTTTCATTTTATTGATGTTCTTTTAATACATGTTTAAGATTAAGATTAATATATGCTTAAGTTTAAGATTAAACTAGTGCCCAAGTACTAACAGCACAGAAAGCAATTCTGGATTAAGGTTTTATTTATTTTTTTAATAAGGCTCAATTAGATGGAGAACAGAAATGAAATTCTTCTCAAACATAAAAATGTGAATTGAATTGCTTCTTTTTGGATGGATCTTTAACATTGACTTGACCATATGGACACTGCAAAAGTAATAAAACAAGTTACTGTTGAATTATTTAACAATCATCTTGAAAAAGTACACTTTTCATGGTGAAAAAAAGAGACTGCTAGTAACGTTCTATAGATTATTTGATCTACCTCCTATAGACTAAGAGGAGAACGATGGCAACATCTGGCAAATGGTTCTAATTAGGGTCCAAGAATCACTTCCTAAATGCATCCTTCCAACTTCAAGAATTTTACTGTCAAAACCTCACCCTTAAAAAATTCTCCAGTCCTCAATTCAGGCAGAGCTCTTATGGGTTTGATTAGAAACAGCTAATGGCACAGGTAGGAACATCCATAAAAGTGAAGGCTTAATTTTTCAATACTGGCTACTGTTAATACAAGCATTTCATGTCAATTCCTTGATTAGAAAGTAGGTCGCTTAGAGGAAATAACTCCTTCTTGCCCCCCAAACATACAGTCAAAGTGGTCTATAAACAGAGCTTATCTGTTTATAATCTTAACTGTATAACAATTTACTAGTAGTATGCTTTTAAAAAGTTAGAGGGAAGAACCCATTCCCATTTATTTTTTGTTCGAAGTAGAGAATTATTACATAGTTAGTTCATCTTAGTCAGTGAGCACAGAGATATATGGCTGCTGAAATATACATTTTAGGAAACCTACAGCACTAAGTTTGGAGTAGCAAGTTTCATGGTTATTTTAAAGACACAGTAGAAAACAACCACAGAAAGAATGGGGGGGGGGAGAGGAGAAGAAAGCGGGGGGGAGGGGGAGTAGTAGTAATAATAATAATTGTAATAATAATGGAGGAGGAAAGGAAGGGAGGGACACGGAGGGAGGAAATCATTATCATTATAAAAAACCTACCTGTCAATATTAGGCAAGTATCTATTTATTCAGCTAAAAATGAAAAATGAATGCTTCCTGGGATCTAGTTTGCAACATTCTGGATTTCTTTTCCTGCCCTCTTTCTACTTGCCTAGTAAACACAACTTATTTGAAACCTCGTGAAAAGTTTCCTCATAATAAAGAACTCCCATGAATTTCCAAACACAGCGTTTCAAGGAACTGATGCTCACGGTGAAACGTTACAAAATTCCATTAACTTTAAAGGTCCTCTGCTGGTCCTAAGGACTTTATTGTCCATGGCCAGAGCAGCTTGTGAAAAGTGCACACCAGGTCCTATTTAGCATTTTTATTTGACTTGTTTTTCAAATAATAGGTATTTACGAAGTCACGGAAGCACCAAAAACTGCTGCCACCCTGCCGAACTGGTACTCACGTGTCTGCAGGTAGAGCCGCAGCATCTGCCTCTCTGCAAGTGGGCCAGCCGGGTGAGCACCATGTAGCCAGTAGCTGGGTCCACGTAGTTCAGCCGGCCAGCCTGAAGAGTAGTGAAATCAAACAATTCATTCAATCTCAATATTCCTCGTATCTCCTCACCATCATTGCTACTCATAAAATACTGCAACATTTTCTTCAAACAATATTAAACTTCTTCCCAGCCATTTTCGTGGCACTTGCAATTAAGGACTGACTGCATTCCAACACTATACACAATCCAACTTTATGTGACATAAGGAGAAAATATACAGTTTGAGAAAAATGAGAAGTTGACGGAAAAACAAGAACTCCTCTCTACCCAATAACGATGTAGCCACTGCTCAGGTATTTTTCATTCAGTTTCTAGGTAACAAGTTTAATAACAGGTGATTTCATGACTTTAAGAGCTTAAGAGGCTGAAAATGAACTTTCACTCAGAAGTTGCAGTTGCAATTTCAGTACTTAAAATATGTGGATAATGATTTAAACTTACAGAAAAGGTGCTAATCAAAACCAACAGTCCTTAGAGAAAAGTACTACCTTTACTATTATTTAACACTTTTCCTTACCTTCATCGTGTGCTGCTCCACTGCACATTTTGTGCTATTTTCTTTTTTTTTTTTTTTTTGGAGTGTTGTTAGTGCCCTTTTTAAGCAAAATAAAACTATTATTTTTAACATATTAACACTCACTGCTTCACGACTTTGATCAAAAGCAGCTTTTACTACAGCACTTCAGATGTCAAGAAAGCATCCTCTATCTACATTCCAACATAGTCTTAAAAAGCTGTCCCAAGCAGTTGTGCGAAGACAAATAATGCAACCTCTTCTGTGGATTTGGGCCACAAGGGTGATATTATTTAGCCTTGAGATTTTGAAGGGGAACTGTCTCCTGGGCTTTTTCTATAACCCTCTTACCACGCAGTAACTCTGCACCACTATTGCATAGAGCCTTTCCATTAAAATACACGTGACACTTAAATATCTTCTTACGTGTATTTTTGCGTATGTCGCAAACTACTTATTCGGAGTGTCTTTCTTAGTGGCTGAATATTTTGTTCTGGTTCAGCTTTTCATCAACTATGCGTCATGAATAAAGCGTGGAGTAAAAGGACAACTAGAGTTCAAGCCTAGGCTTCCTCTAAGGCATTCCAGCAAAGTGAGCCCAGGGCAGCGGAAATCCAGCAATCAAGTCCCAAGGCCAGCCTAAGGGGCCTCCCGAATCCTTTGGGGCCGCAGAAGCAGATTACATGAAACCAGCAGCACTGAACACTACTTTAGAACGACCGATTGTCAAGACCTTGCTTCTTTATTTACTAAGTCTGTGTTGGAAGACTTGGAAGAAAAGCAAAAGAACGCTGGGAACTCTGTTAGCAGACTTCTTTCCGCTTTTCATTGCTGGGGGTCTTCTGGAACCTGGGAGCCTAACAGATTGCTCCTGGGCCTGGGCTGCTCTCCTGCTTTCCAAGTCAATGGGGAAACGCTGATGGCTGCCCACACAAACTGTAATTTGTCCTCAGTAGGTGAGCCTCAGGCCATGGTGGCAGGAGACAAAGGCAGGGCAAGAGTGTTGACAGTCTGACTGGAGAACAAGATGCCCAGTGATGCAGGTCAGCACACGTGAGAGAGCTACCTGCCTGCAGGTGTGGACGAAGGACCACTGTGAGGGGGCTCTGATTTGTTGAACAACGAAAACAACAAGCTCATTACTGGGTTTGCTTATGGTCTCCTGGACAGCCACTGAACCTGCGATTCTGACACTGATGAAACTGTGTGAATTCCTTGAGTGAGAAAAAGTTTCTTTCCCTTCCCGGGCTGATTGAGCCGGTTGTTCCAGGCCACTGGTGTTTGCTCTATAGAGAATGACACTTTTTGCTTCTATCTACCACATTTATATAGCGAAGTATGGGAACAAATTACACATTATTTTAAAAAGAGCATAAACAAGAACCATCAAAAGCTGCCAGTTATTTCCTAAAGAGTCTTTGTGCAAATGTTTCAACATAGAAGTGGATCTCAGCGCCTACTAACTGCCCATGGAAAAAAAAAAGTCAACTTTAGGCAACCTCCAAGGTTTTCTTCTCTGCTCCCCTGGTTCAGGCAAGACCAAATAACACTAGTCATGTCAAGTGCTGGTCACCCGCAGTGTATTCAAAAGGCTACTTTTGTATCTTTTCTATATCTTTATCACAGAACTCACTTGCTCTTTCAAGACGATACAAATATAAACATGCTACCCTTGAACGTATGTAGTCTGTGTCAGAAAGCATTAAGGGAGGTGATGAGTTTTGATACTGGTGCTAACAAGCAACAGTCAAATCCCCAAACCAGAAGAACACACAGCTCTAGATTGTCTAGTAAAAATGTAAACGCCTATTTATACCTTCTTTTGTAACTCTGCTCCGATAGGTGGAAAGGACGAAAGGATGATAGCAAAAATTAAAATAAATTAAAAATAAGTTCATGTTTTATGTTTTCATTATTGAAATCATTGGATGGCAGTGTTTAACTGATACTGCAGATAAACACACACATATCTCCCTGGGACTTCTCAGCTCCTCTACCTCCTCTATCAATGCCTTACACCACTCCCCCAACCCCAAACACACACGCACACACATGCGCGCACACGCGCGCGCACACACACACACACACACAGGCCAGTGATGACAGGCCCTAGACTGCGACCGGAGTTTAGCTCGGACACTGATCAGAAAGGAGTCGCGCTCATACTCAGGATAGATCCACGTTAACTCTTTGCCCGGAATAGGAAACTGTGGCCAGTTTTCAAGCGAAAAGTTCTGAGCGGTAAGCTTGCACACCGTCAGAGGCCCGAGGCAGGACTGCACCGACCTCCGGCAATCCCTCTCCAGACCGGGGATGCGCAGGCGCACCTATCACCGGGCGGCCGGGAAGGGCGGGGCTGCTAGGGGCGGGGCTGCCGCGGAGGGCGGGGCGGGGTGTCTGGGGAGGAGGGGCCTCACTGCGCAAGCGCGTGGTCCCTGGGGCTGCGGTCCGGGCGGGGCGGGGAGGGGCGGAGGAACCCGGGGGCCCGTGAGGGACGGGGCGGGGCCTCACCGCGCAAGCGGCGGCGTGAAGCTCCGAGATCCTCCGCTCCGCCGCTGTTAACTCTTTGCTCGCCGGACGCCTCGCTGCTTCCTCCGGCCCGCCCTGCGAGTCGGGCCCAGACCCGCCGCGGTCTCCCTGCGAAGCGGAGCAGAGGGTGAAGCTGAGGCGCTGTCGGAACCCTTCTCCGACCCGGGGCGGTTCTGGCGGCGGGGCGGCGGACGGCTGCCTCCGGAGCGCAGCGCCCGCGGACGCCGGTACCCGCCAGGCCGCCATGGCTGCCGCCTGTGGGAGGCGGGGCGCTGGGGCCACGGGGCGGTCCGTACTGCTCCCGCAGAGCCAGGCCGGGCCCAGACCCGCCACCACGGACCCCGCCCTCCGAACCTCGACCCCGGACCCGCCCTCCGGTCCTGGACCCCGACCCCCACCTCCTGACCTCGGCCCTACGGGTTCTGACTCCCTCTCCGACCCAGGGCCCCGGCCTCCGGACTCGGATCCCGCCCTCCGACCTCCGACCCCTTCCTCTGGACCTGGATCCCATCTTCCGACCCCCGACCCGGACCCCGCCCTCAGATCCTTGCCCTCGGACCTGGACCCCGACCCAGCCCCGGCTCTCCGGCTCCGGACCTTGACCCCTGACCCCGGATCCCGCCCTCTGGTCCTGGACCTGGCCCTCCGAGCCCAGACCCCCGACCCCGCCCTCGCCCTCCGGACCCGGACCCCGGCCTTCCGCAGCCCCACCGGCCCTGCCCGGCAGATGAAGTGGACCTTAGGCAGCTGAGGAGGCTCCCGCGCGATGCGGGGACGGGGAAGAACGTGCCTTTTCCACTCTCTGGACTTTCATTCTAGGTGTTCCATTGGTCTTCTGAGGTGACACGTGGACCTTTTTTCTCGTGTCAAACTAGTCTTGGGATCTTTCAGCATAATCGCTACAACTAAGATGCCAGAAAGTGATCAAAATATCCCAGGTTTGTTTATAACCCGCTTGGGCTCGTCCAGAAAAGGCTGAGTATCTACAGGTGATGTGTGCTTGGAGGGCAGCTGGAAGGGGAGCCCTCACGGCCTGGTTCTTTGACCCAGACTAAAATGAGGACCAAAAGGAATAACGGGCAGTGGTTTCATGTTGCAAAGTATTTGCAAAATCCAAACTAAAATTATATTTCCCGTCCGAAAGATGAGAGAAAGTTATTCTGCTACCCTCCACAAAATTAAATTTGAGAAAATTAGCACAAGCCCAGGAGGTCACTTCAGGCGTTAGAATTAAATTAACACCACTCCTGACTCCCACCCTCAGCGTGTGTTTCAGGCTTGAAGAGTAGCCGTTTTGTAAGTGTTCTTCACTTTTTGAGAAAATGAGGGCAGGAATTGATCCCTGAGGACAAGAGTAGATTGTTGAGTGGTGCAGGAGAAGGATGACCCTGAACCATCACCACCCCTTTTTTGGCATCTGCATTTACCTATAATCATATCTGGATTCTCTTGGTAGGTGCTGATTGAAACGACCCTATTGGTCTGTTATAGTGAATCTCATAGTGAATTAATAAATCGGAATCCAGACCAATTTCCTTTGTGTTGGAATAATAAATGAGTTTATTATTCCAAATTAGTTTATTATCTCCTCAAATTAGATCTGAGAAGAGTTCAAAACGTGGAAGCCTGAGGAGGGACCCTCAGTAAAGCTATGGAAAGAGCAACTGTGATTAGAAAAAGGAATTCACCATAAATCAGTTGCGTGTGTTTGCTTTTTGTGTTTTTTTGTCAAACCAAATTATCAAATAAAGGAAATAAGTCTGGAAGTTCCAGTTGATTACATTGTTTTTAAAATTGAGGATGAGGATCTATTAATAGTTCATGACATTAATTCAAAGGGTGGAGACCAAACTTTATAGAAATGAAATAGACTAGACCAGGTTCAAATAGAAAATAATAGTCATCTAGGAAGAGTAAACACTAGTTTGTGCAGCTTTTGCTTTGGTGGATGAGGGGCAGGTGTGAATATAGAGGGGTAGTAGCAAGGGAGATCTTTGTGATAATAGAATAGTTCTGTGTTCTGGTCCTGTCAGAAGTCTACACATGTGTTTAGAGGTAGAACTAGAGTACTTTGTTCCAATGTCACATTCCTGGCTTTGATTTGTGTTACAAGTGTATAAGATGTAACCAGTGGGGGAAACTGGGTGAAGGGAACCTGCTGTACTATCTTTGCAACTTCTTGTGAATCTAATTATTTTAAAATTTAAAAACAGTACTTGGGGGCTTTCCTGGTGGCGCAGTGGTTGAGAGTCTGCCTGCCGATGCAGGGGACACGGGTTCGTGCCCCAGTCCGGGAGGATCCCACATGCTGCGGAGCAGCTGGGCCCGTGAGCCATGGCCGCAGGGCCTGCGCGTCCAGAGCCTGTGCTCCGCAATGGGAGAGGCCACAGCAGTGAGAGGCCCGCGTACCGCAAAAAATAAATAAAAATTAAAAAAAAAAAAACAGTACTTGGAAAAAGAGATGTTAAAAAAAAAATAGCTTTCCGATTACCCGGTAAAGCACATCATGAATTAACCAGAACCTTTCCTTATCTCCTCCATCCCCAGGTTTAAAAATCATCCATTAGTTAGTAAGGCCTTTGGGCATTTAGGCTCAGAAAGCTGTTTTGTGGGACTTCCCTGGTGGTCCAGTGGTTAAGACTTCCCGCTCCCAATGCAGGGGACCTGGGTTCAATCCCTGGTCAGGGGACTAGATCCCTAAAAATTCCGCATGCTGCAACAAAGATCCTGTGTGCCACAACTAAGACCTGGCGCAGCCAAATTAATAAATAAATAGACATAAAAAAAAAAAAGAAAGCTGTTCTGTACCATTCACGTTACATGTGTGTGTATTCTTATATATCTTTAAACATAATCTGAGCTGGAAAATCTGTATATTTAAGAGTTGATAAAGTATTTTAGTACAAATCGTTTCCAAACAAATTTGATAATTAGAGTGTCATTTAGACTTTGAATAGATTATCTGCCCGTTTCAGTTTTCGTCTGATCTTCACACTTGGGAGTCAGTGTCGTGGCACGTCACGTAACTTTCATTCACTGCATCTCTTGTTTGAAAGACCCTCCTTGGATCTTGACCCTTACCTTATTCTAGTGTGTGTTCGTTTCTTCTCAGACTGTCTGCTCTCACAGTAGACAACACACCTGTATGAAAATGGGGGCACAGTGTTCCACCTTAGAATGGTAAATGTAGTTCCCACTTTATTTATGAAGGATTTACACCCAGGTTTGCTTTAGAAAGAGTTCTGTGCCACATCTCTGCATGTTACATGATATGGCATATATTTTATACCCCTTTCTATCATCTGTGATGTTTGTGTTGATACTGAACATGTTTGCTATTTGGAGGAGGAGGAAGGAGATTCAGAGAAATGTTTCCCTAGGCTTCCCTAGGTATTGATTTTTAAATAGGTACATTAGGCCTCTCTCTGTTGTAGGCTGTGGATCACACAGCTTTGCCTGATTACAGTAAAAGGGATGGGCTCCCATCACAGTGAGGCAGGACTTGATCTAGGCTCAGTGCCACGGCCAGAGCTCAGGCTCCTTTCCCAGCTCTGCCTCCTTATTGCTCGTGGCCTTTTCAGGCAGGTGCTTTTCTTGTGGGTGAAGGATGGCTGCAAACAGCTTTCTCATCCTTGGCCAGCTGAAAAGAGAGCCTTGTTATGAAGCTCCTGGATGAGAAGAAGGCTTTTTGCCCCCAGGAGTTCTAACAGCCATCTCTTCATCACGTGTCCGTTCCTGAACCGATCTTCGTGAGTGTAGGTTGTGCCGAAGGCAGTCGGGGCCTGTCTCGGGAACTGCCTTGTGAACCCTCCCAGACTCAGGCCTGAGAACGGCCTGTATTGATGCTGGGGACACACTTAACAAATGTCCACTGCAGTGTGACTTGCAAAGGCAAAATAAATTCCTCCAACCCACCCAGTCCTCTTAGCATTTAGTATTAATTGCTTATTGTTTAAAACATTTTTCATTGTTCCTCTGGTTCCCCTCTAGATGTCCTTCCTTTGATCTTCCACAATTATTTGCTCCATTTTAGCTTTTTATATGTAGTAATTTTGGGGGCACTGTTTTCTTAACAGATTGTAAACAAGATGGTAGGGCAGCAGTCCCCAACCTTTTTGGTACCAGGGACCTGTTTTGTGGAAGACAGTTTTTCCATGGACGGGGTGGGCTGTTGGTGCAGGATGGTTTAGGGATGATTCAAGCGCATTACATTTATGGTGTACTTTATTTCTATTATTATTATATTGTAATATATAATGAAATAATTATACAACTCACCGTCATGCTGACAGGAGGCAGAGCTCAGGCAGTAATTGGAGCGCTGGGGAGCGGCTGTAAATACAGATGAAGCTTCCCTCGCTGGCCCACTTCCTGACAGGCTGTGGACCAGTAGTGGTCTGTGGCCCGGGGGTTGGGGACCCCTGTGGTAGGGAATATGCTGTTTTCATCTTTGTATCTTCACAACCCCACCTGTACTTTTTTACCTATTACTATGACACAGTGAATAAAGGCTTTTCAAATGGGCAAGTCCGTGGTTGTTCATTCTGAAATATATAATCCTTAGCTAGTGGATAAACATTTCATATGAAATTCTAAAATTAACATTCTTTACATAATGATGCAAATTTGAAAGTATTTACTATGGATTAATAATTGCAAATAAATACTTTAAAAACTGGGTGATAAAGATACTAACTCTGAGGTCTTATTAAATTGTATTTATTAAATAGCATTGGGCCATTTTACTGACAATCAGGACATATGTACACATTATCAAATTGTCTGATGTAAGCCCCCAAAACCTGCCTCTGATTAATTTTAAGTGTTATTATCTGTGTTATCTTTTAACGAATTATGAATGTACTGCACTGTTAGTGGGCAAATGGGTGCTGAGGTCACAGAGCACAGACGTCTTGTCCGGGCACTGCCTGTTTTGCGCAGTTGTTTTTGGACACTGGTTTATGTATTTGATGTCTTTCAAATAGCCGGATGGTGAGTTATGACATGTCATGCTCCACGTAGAGCGCATTTCACTCTCAATTCTTATGATTGAGAGCAAATGTTACACACCCCTAAGGTAGCCCATAGGGAATCTTCGTTTCATTTCATCCGACATCCCATAGCACACTTTGTTTTACAGAGCTGGTCTTAGAAAATTCTTCGGGGAATTATAACTGTTTCTGTTTGCCAGCCCAGCGAATCTCGGCTTTTTCACGAGGGGTGCTCGCCCACCAGCGCTGCCTGTC